GTCCTCTGTCCATTTTTAAATCATATTGTTTGTTTTTTGGTGTTAAGTTGGGTCATTTCCTTATATACTTTGAAGATTAACCCCTTACCGGATGTATCATTGGCGAATATCTCCTTCCATTCAGTGGGCTGTCTTTGTGTTTTGTTGGATTCCTTCACTGAGCAAAAGCTTTAGTTTGACATAGTCCCATTTATTTTCTTTTACTTTTGTTTCCCTGGCCTGTGGGGATATACCCAAAAATACTATTAAGAGTGAGCTCCAAGAGTCTACTGCCCGTGTTTTCTTCTAGGAATTTTATGGTTTCAGGTCTTACATTTTAGTCTTTAATCCATTTTGAGTTTATTCTTGTATATGGGTAACAAAGCGGCCTTTTCATGTTTTTGCCATGTATCCAGTTTTCCCAGTGCCATTTATTGAATAGACTGTCTTTACCCCATTGTATGCTCTTGCCTCCTTTGTCATAGGTTAATTGACCACATAGGCGAGGGTTTATCTGTGGGCTCTCCATTCTGTTCCATTGATTTATGTGTCTGTTTTTAATTCCAGTACCATGCTGTTTTGCTCATGACAACCTTGTATCAATAGTGTAATTCAACATCAGGTAGTGCGACACTTCCAACTTTTGATTTTTCACAATATTGCTTGGCTATTCAGGATCTTTTGCAGTTCCACACAAATATTAGGTTTAATTATTCTATTTCTGTGAAAAATGTTATTAGTATCTCGATAGGGATTGCATTGAATCTGTAGATCGCCTTTTGTAGTATGGACATTTTAATGATGTTAATTCCTCCTACCTACAAGTGTGGTATGTCCTTTCATGTATTTGAATGTTCTTAGTTTCTTTCTTCAATGTCTTAATAGTTTTCAGAGTACAGGTATTTTACCTCTTGGTTAAATCCATTCCTAGGTACTTTATTCTTTTTCATGTAACTATACATGGTTCTGTTTTCTTAATTTCACTTTCTGATAGTTTGAAATTGGTGTCTAAAATGCAACTGATATCTAAATACTGATTTCGCATGCCGATACACCACTGAATTCATTTATCAGGTCTAATGGTTTTTTGGTGGCATCTTTAAGATTCTGTATAGTATCTGTCATCTGCAAATGATGATAGTTTAACTCATTCCTTTCCGATTTGGATGCCTTTTATTTCTTTTTCTTATCCGATTTCTTTGGCTAGGATTTCCAATACCATGTTGGTTGCTTGTTGTGGCAAAAGTGGATATCCTTGTTTTATTCCTGATCGTAAAAGAACGTTTTCAGCTTTTCACTACTGACTGTTAGCTGTGGGTTTGTCATATGTAGCCTTTACTATGTTGAGGTGTGTATCTTCTCTCCCACTTTGGTGAGAGGGGTTGTTTTTTTTGTCATAACGGATGTTGGATTTTGTCAAACACTTTTTCTCATCTGTTGGTATGATCGTGTTTTTTTTTGTCCTACGTTTTGTTTATGTGGTGTGGCATGTTAGTTGATTTTCATACACCAAACCAGCCTGGCATCCCAGGAATCAGGCACACTTGATCATAATTCATGATCTTTATCGTGTATTGCTGAATTCAGTTTGCTAATGTTTTGTTTAGGATTCCTATGTCTATGTTCATCAGGGACATTGGCCTATGATTCTCTTGTTTGTGGTGTTTTTGTCTGGCTCTGGTGTGTGACCAGTTATTTTGAAGGAAGGATGCCTAAGAGGGCAAGCTGGGACCCAGAGGCGAAAGCAAAAATCCACTTTACCCTTTTGGGAACCAGCTACCATGTTGGAAGCACAGGCTGCACTACTCAGTGACAGGAAACCAACTACGTGGAGAAAAAGCCCCAGGACACGGACATCTGAGTGAGAGCATCTCCCCCATCTCAGCACCAAACTCCAAGGTGAATGCAAGCTCAAGAGCGACCGAGCCAATTCCAGTGTCACACACAACGGGAGGACCAACTTTTTGAGCACAGTCAACCCACAGGATCTTGAAGAGCAAGGATCATAAGTCTTTTGGCCACTAATATTTGGCATAATTTGCTACACAGCAAGATATAACTAAAAATGATGGTTTTTGTTTCCAACATTTGGTAGGGAAATCACTGAAGCCAAGAACAGTCTTCAACCATGATCTGTCTAAACCAAAGGTCCACTAAGCAAATCCATTCCTGAGTGAGGCTTAGCCCTCTTCTAGTGCTTTTCTTCTACAATCCTGCCTGCCTAGCCCACTGTGCCTCGATTCCCTCGTTAGGGTTCGGAAAACCACAGGTCCCAGCACATACGTCTTATGAGGATGAAATGAGTCAAAGTATGGAAGCACCAGGGGTAAATAGTGGCCTTGTAGGTGGTCCCTACAACAAGAGTCTGTACTGAGATCACAGAGGGAACTTCCCTGTCTGCCTATCACAGTTGCCCAGCTCCAGAGTAGACATGGTGTATGTAGGAGGTGACACAGTGAGAAAATGAACAGCCACTTCTTTTCGGCTCTGGGATGGTGGGAGGAGTAAACTGTCTAGAAGAGTTGTTCATTTCCCCCATATGTGCTTTGGTCTGGAGATGGGCTGCGTGGAAGGAACTGCTACAGCAGGTAAGTCAGGCGCTGAGGACGGGGCGCAGGGAGACTCCTGTTTTCCGCCTGTGTCTGGGATCTTGGGGGGAAGGTGCCTCTCGCTGCCCCACATCAGTGCGTGGCCCGGATGCAGAAAGGCAGAGGAGCGTGGTCAGGCAGAGGGAGGTGCAGCGAGCTCTCAGAGCTGCGTTCGGTGCTCGTTCGTGGCTGGGATGAGAGCCCCTCTGAGGGTCCACACGAAGCTTCCAGCTGGGTCCATCCTCAGCCAGGTGGTTTGTCAGGGAGGGGGTGGGAGACAGTAGAGGCTACATGGGGGACGGTCAAGATGGGACCAGTCTGGCAAGAGGAGTGTTAACCCAAACGAAGGGAGTTCTTACTTCATCACTGGGACATGGGACAGCCATGACCACGCAGACTAGCAAACACTCTCGGTAGCGCACCCTCAGGGGCCAGGGTGAGGCCGGCAGGTGGCCGGCCCCTGTGCCTCCCTGCCTCCCTGCCTCCCTGCCTCCCATCCTTGGATCCCCGCTAGTCAGACCTCCTTCCAACTTAGAGGAAGACACGGGGCAGTCGGAAAGGCTCAGTGAATGACGAAGCCTTGCAGAAAGACACAAGCTAATTGACTGTGTAAAAGTAAGCTTCATTCACTCTTCCATTGGTAAGTTTTCATTTTCCCACTAATTAATAGGGAGGTGAGGAAAGCCAGACATATTTTAACTGAATGAAATTTTACAAGGTGGCTTCGCTTGGAAGTAAGTATGTAAGTTTATGTTAGCATCTTTTTAATGTTAATTTCTTTATCTTAAAAACTGAAATATGAGGCACTGTACTATAGTATATCAAAAGGTGTTAAGGAAATATCCCTCTAAGTACAGTTTTATACTTGGCTTTGTTCATTCAACTCAGAAGAAAATTGCTGCTCTATTTCAGCCTGATTTATACCCAAATAATACTTTCCAGTGTTGTGGGCTCTTCCCGTGATTTTACTGCCAAATGTCCACCCGGAAAAAAGCAAAAGCCCTTTTAGTTTCCTAGAGGCGCCTGTTGCTTTTTCTTAGCTTCAATCACAGGCAATCAATTATGTTTCTGAGAATATTTGTATAAATTAGAGTGCTGTCTCACCTTGTCCTTATAGTGCAAATCACATTGACACCTCTGCCCACTTTTGCTTTGTAGCGAGAATTATACCACATTCATTGTCACCTCTCTTGGGTGGAAACATTTTTCACACAATATGTCACCCCTACCACATACATAAGAAAGACATCTTCCCATGCCTATCAGTGAATAAACCGTTACTTTGATTTAATACGCTGCTTCTTTCATCAAACACCCAACAAATTGTGTGGCTTGCAACTTACTTTGTGTCGCATGCATTATCATTCTTCCTCCTTTATGTGAGATGCGTTCTGGAAGCTCCTCCCACCTTTCAGAAACTCTGCACCTGTTACTGTTCCACTTAGCACGATAGTCTGCAGTCCCACCCATGCTGCTGCACCGAGCAGGGTTCCTTCTCTCTTTTTGCTGCAGAGTATCTCCTTGTATAAATGTGCTGCTTTTTTTTTTCATCCACTCATTTACTCATGGGTACTTAGGCTGCTTCCAAATCTTGGCTATTGTAAATAGCGCTGCCGTGAACATGGGGGTGCATGATTCTTTAGAATTGGTGTTTTGGGGTTTTTCAGGTATATGCCATATGATCTTGCTTATGAGAGGAATGGATGAACAAAAGAAACTAATGAGCAAAAGAGAACCAGAGGCACCGAATCCTGGAACAAACGGACAGCTGTTAGAGTGGGGGGCAGGGGCTGATTCAGAGACAGTGAAGGGATCAGTCAGAAATATATATGAAGGACCCACGGACTTGGACAGTGGTGTGGGGATTGACTGTGGAAGTGGGGGGCAGGCTGGGTGGCGGGGGGCAAAGGGGGAAAGTTGGGATGACTGTAATAGCATAAACAATAAAATATTTTTTTTGAAAGAGAAAATCAGGCCTGGCTGGAGTAGCTCAGTGGATTGAGCGCAGGCTGCGAACCAAAGTGTTGCAGGTTTGATTCCCAGTCAGTGTACATGCCTGAGTTGCAGGCCATGACCCCCAGCAATCACAGATTGATGTTTCTCTCTCTTTCTCCCTCCCTTCCCTCTCTAAAAATAAATAAATAAATAAAATCTTAAAAAAAAAAGAAAAAGAAAATCACCTTTTAGAACCAAAGTTGCTTTTAAATATTCAAATTTATTTACCATATAACATCTACCAGGCAAAAAATAGTAAGAATTAGAAGCTTCTTTCATTAATAGTTCTAGTTAATGAAAATAATAATGCTGATATTTAAGAAAAATATGAAACACAATACCAAGATTTCCTTGTCTAATGTCCCAATCTTGAATTGAACAATTTGTGTGTGTGTGTGTGTGTGTGTGTGTGTGTGTGTGTGTGTGTGAAGTTATTACCGGTTTTGTAAGTGCCTGAGTTCAGTTTCCAAGTTTTCATTTGCTTCTTTCTGGTCATCCAGCGACCTCTGGAGCTTACGTATCTGATTCAGGGCATCATTGAGCTGAAAACAAAGGAGGAAATGCTTGACTTAAAATGACTGAAAATCCTTTTAAAAACAAGGCCTGTTTTTTGCATGGTACATTCTTATGCACAAGTTTCTTTTATGTCTGTGCATGAATACATGGGAATATTCATTTGTTTTTTCACAATAGAAGTCATGCACAAATTCGCTAATAAAATGAGCATCTGCATGGACTCTGGAATGTTCGACAGCATCTTCTCTCTCCAGGCACTCTTCCCCCGTTTCAGCCCTGCCCCTCCGCCTGAGTCGCAGTCCGCGACCCTGAGCTCATTATCCCCAAGATTTGGGGACTGTCACAAGCCTTGAGAGTTGGAATGGCGGGTGCCTGTCTGCAAGGTGCTCTGTCAGCTCTGGTTCACACACAACATCACGTTTCTGGAAATGCAAACTTAAGCATGCACGGTGGCTTACTCTGCACACGCTGAGGTCTTGGCTGTGAACTGCCCTCCCCAGGAAAAAAAAAATATCTTTACTGTGTCCTCCAATTTAATCATTAATGCTAATATTTTTTAAGTGTTCTAATTAAGTTCCCAAAGTATTTTCTTCTTAGCCGGCGTGGAGGTTTAATGGGTTAGGATTAGATAGTTTTCCTGTCTTCTCTTCCTCACAATTATTTCTAGCCACTGGATTCATCCAATCGAATATTTCAAAATCTTATGGAAATTGACAGAAGTTTGCAAATTTCAAGCCTCAAGACAAAATTCTTGCCTCTCCAAGTAGCTTGCTGTCCTATGGCACTACGGTAGAATAAACCTAATTTTAGTATCTAACACAATCGTAAGGGTAATAAAATTGTTCTTATTGTGCAAAAAGTCAAACTCTTGCTACAGATGAAAACTGACTTCAATCCCCTGATCTCTGGGGCAGTGTTTTCCAACTTATATCACTTTAAGCATGAGGAAGAACATATAAAGTTAGGTAGGTGCTATTATTTTTCAGGGAGGAAAAAAACACAATTTTTCTTCATCCACACGAGAAGTAACACCTTTCTATAAACCCTGTCATCGATTGTTTGTGGTGTGGCATAAACACTTTGTTCAAGTATGTCAAAATTAACACCCAACTATTCATTTATTCCTGAATTTCAAACAAACATTTTAGTAATACTCATATTTTGTTGACAGCTGCAATTCCCATGTTCATATGCAACTACTAGATTACTTTTATTCACAGTGTCCAAGTTTGCTTTCCTAGTTTCAACGTTCATTCACCCTCATCAGACCTGTGCGGGTCTCTGCAGACCTCACTTTTCTTTGTTCCCACTTCGCATTGGGAAGCTTATGCATTTCTCTAGTTATGTTTTTGCATTTGTTCATGTAACATACATTGTTAATGAATTAGGCTCATGTTTCATTTTAATCATTGTGTTACCCGAAATTATTCAAATCAGTAGAATGCTATTTTACTAATGTTACCAAAGGATTGATTAGAGTGCAATCATATCCTATACATTACATAAAAGGTCTTATGAAATTTCAGTATGCTTAGTATATGAATTTTTGCTTCTTGGATATACCCTTGATATTTTTATTATTTGGGGGAGTCAGAGTATGCAACATTTATGCCTCATTAAAGATAAATTTTAAGAAATATTTTAATTTCCTTATATATGATCAAGATAGAAATTAAAACAATAAAGTAATAGGCTAGTAATGTTTGACAATATTATTCTGGAAACTCCTATTATTTTGCATTTTATCTTCTTTCCTAAATATCTACTTGGAAAAAAACACACTCTTATTTGGCATCACAGTGTCAGTTCCAAGGGGAGTTCCTAAATGATATTTATGAATAGTGGTATTTTTACCATTTTTCTTCAATTTATAAATTTTTGGCTTCTATGCTATCATTTTGGGCTTCAATATATAGACACAACTGTGGGGTATATGATAACTCCTTGAAGCGCTTACTCACAGACAGGTACTGGTACATATTTAAGGAATACTGTGTTCTAACTACATAAAAAACATTAGAGTTTGAATAGAGTACAACACTGTAATAAATAAAACTCTATTATACTCAAAAGTGGAGTAATTAGAGAATATAAATTTGGCAATGTATCTTGGGGATGTATACCAAAAGTCTTAACATTGATGTTTTTTAATTCCTTATGTATTGAAATGTCTGAAAAAATAATATCAGAAACACCTACAAGCTCTTGTATAATTTCTTTTAGTATAATCATGAAAAAGTCAAATTGACCTTAATGGTTACTGAAAGGATTATATTTAAGTACAGTGCACCAGTCTGATAGAACATTCTGCAGACCTTAAAATGTTTATTTAGCTTTCATAATGCTACTTGATGTCATTTGAGTTTTAAAAAATTCCTTACAACATTGCGAGTACCACATAACATTTCTTATGTAAAATGATTTTAAAAAATAATACCCAAATACTGGCTGAGCTTTTTAGACACTGATATTTTCTAAATCTACGCCAAGCTTTTATACACTTTACAATGAAAGATAAGTGTACTTTGAAACTTATTTTAAGCAAAGTTTAAGTGCTTTAAAAACTTCCCAAGGTACGGATGATGGTTTGGTGGGTCCCTGGGGAGCTCAAGAGCATTTGAGGTCACCAGGCTCCTCCGGGGTGCTGCTGCCACTGGCCCTTGGGACGCACTGCGGGTAGAAGTCCGTGCAGTGACCCCGGCCTGGAGGATGGCATTTTCCTTGGGTGCGCCATCCTACCTGCCACTCAGCTTTCTCTGCTTGTCCGGCTAAATTATGGTAGCCATTTTTTGGCTGTAGCTCTCCCCAGATATCTCAGTGACTCATTTTCTTCCACATCTTTTATGTACTTACTCACATCTGAGGCCAAATACCATATTTAATACTGGGATCTGCCCCCAAAGCAAGACCACTGATGCATTTGCTAACAGTTGTGTGGTTTATATATGAGCTGTCCCGGTCTTTCTCCACTGCAATGCAAGTTCCATGCTTAAGGGATAAACATTTTATTCATCTGTGGATTTCAGGTGCTTGCAATAGTGTTTGCATGTTTTTAACAAAAAGAAAAAATGGATGCTGGATAGGCTAAAGCAACAGATGTCCTTCCACTGTGTTAAAATTTTTTGGCCGAGGAAGGAGGGCGTAATTTTTAAAGCTCTGTATCAGTAGCACCCTGCAACATTTATATGCCAGATAAAACCAGTTCAGTATTTACAGGGAGTACAGAATAATTGCTTTGTTCCTGTTACTGCTCTGGTAAGGCCCCAGGCAGTCTGGCTAGAATCTGAGTGGACTGCCAAAAATTTATGATTCTAGAAAAATATATTGAAACTATATCTTATCGTCTGATCAAGGTGGCAATATAACAAGGTCCCAGCCAAAGTCTTAAGACTTGGTGGCGTGGAGGCAATGACTTCAGCTAAAAAGAAGCTGCGATTCCTGATAAATATTTTTCTATCATCAAACAAATAAGAAAAAAAAAATGAAACATAGAAAAGACTAGAAAAGCATGTGAGTTGCGGCAAACAGCAGGGTATGATTTGTATCATAAATCGAACCGGAAACCGTTGATAATCGGTTTTCATGTATCTTTCCATGAGCAACTGGCCAGGACCGATTTCTGTCCCAGAAACTGAGGTGCCATGGCCAGCGCCGGGCGTTCTGGCAAGTCCTTCTGGCCCGTCTGCTCCGATTCCGCCTCAGGGCACCCGCAGTCGGTGTCTTTATCACCGGTCCAGCTTGCAGCGTAATTAAGCTAATGAGGGGCGATGGCACGAATCCAGGTGCGCTTCCTGCTCACAAAGCCCCTAAGCCCGACCCACGCCACGCAGAGCCCTTGTGAGAGAGGAGGGGCGCGGCGACTCGTCCACTTCGGATAATGAAGACGAACCTTCGGACAGAGATTTATCATTGGAACTGAAATATTCTAGACTTATCAAGGATTGCACCGCGATGTGCTCTTCCCCTGGAAAAAAGTCCGCAGAGTCAACCAGAACCCCTTACGGACATTTCTCGGAGATGGGAAATGGTAGCTTTTTGAGGAATTTGCTAAGTATATAGTTTGTGTTACAGGATTATATGTATTTTTTTAATATTTTATTTTCCTACATTCTTTTTTTAAAGATTTTATTTATTTATTTTTAGAGAGGGGAGGGAGGGAGAAAGAGAGAGAGAGAGAGAAACATCAATGTGTGGTCACTGGGGGCCGTGGCCTGCAACCCAGGCGTGTGCCCTGACTGGGAATCGAACCTGTGACACTTTGGTTCACAGCCCACACTCAATCCACTGAGCTACGCCAGCCAGGGCTAGGATTATATGTATTTTTCAATGTTGTAATAATTATGTCTTTAATGATGACATCTTATTTCCTACCTACATAGAAATACTTGGATGAGTTAAATTCAACAATTCCAAGTAATTATTACTAAGGTATTAAAAATTAAAATGTGATTTTATTTCAACAGAATATAAAATACCCTGTGGTCTTGTAACCTGTCATGGTGAGTGTGATTTACTAAACTTATTTATTAGTTTCCATACAGGCCTCAAATATATCCTTGAACTTCAAGATTTCGTGAAACTGGCTGCTAAATTTCTATTGACTATTTTCCATCTAAAGTAAGTAGCATCATTGCCCACTGGACAGTTGTTAAAATGTTTAAGAAATGTTAAAGAAGCTAGCACTGAATACCTGTATTGCTGATAATTCATTGACCTTTGAGGTGTATAAACTGTAACTTTTCTATGAGCTAAGGTAGCAATGCAATTGTTGTAGATATAGGGTTAATGAAAATAATGTGACTATACCTCAGCTGAATAACTCAAACAGTGCATTGCATTCTTTAGTGCAAAAGCGCAAAACATTGGCTTACAAGTGAATTGATTAAAGTGGGTAATTCTATATGGAATAACACAGGTTCAGATTTGAGAGATTCCCATTTTGGGAAAACTATATATATTTTGGAAACAAAGGCAGTTTGCTTTAGGTTCTATTCCTTACAGTGAATGGAATGATGAAAATTACATT